GAAGTCTAAAAATCCAAGATCAAGGTACCAGCAGAGCGGGTTTCTTCTGAAGCCCTCTTCTGGGTGTGTAGGTGGCTGTCTTTTCCCTGTGTCTTTACATGACCTTCTCTTTGTGCATCTGTATTCTAATTTCCCCTTTTGATAAGTATACAAAGCGTATTGCATTAAGGTCTGCCCTGGTGACCTTATTTCAAGACAATAACTTCTTTGAAAATGAAATATTCAAATACAGTCACATTTTGAGCTACTGGAGATTAAGGCTTCAATGTATCAATTTTGAAGGGACACAACTCAGTTAACAATTGGGAATTATGTGGTTACATTTCCTTTGGTAATCCTATAGAGTATGGATTTGAGGAACAAGAGACAGATTAACAGGTTATTATAACAATACAGGTAAAAATCGGGTTATTGTATAAAACAATGTTACCAGAAATTGAAACAAAGGAACCAATTACTGACACATTTAGCAAATGAAATTGGCATAAGCATAAGGCTACTTAGATGTTAGAAAGGAAAGTGAGGTGTCTAAGTCTCCAGATTTCTAGTTTGGATGACACAGTGGATGGTGAGACCATAAATGAATATTTAAAAAATAATAACTTGAAATAAGGAACTGGTTTGGAGGCAAAATGATGAATTCAATTTGAGGAAATCCAATTAAAGTTACCTAGAATGCAGTTAGATACAGGAATCTAAACTTCAAAGAGAGATGATAGTCATGGAAGTTTAGGTTCAGCCTTTGTTAGTATGTATGCCTTTTGAAACTATAGGGTAGATGCTCCTGTACTGAGTGATGAGAGTAAAGGACTTGGAAGAAAACACCATTTGGAGGCTGGGCAAAGAAGAAACCTATGAAGGAGTCAATATTGTATGAAGCAAAGCAAGAGAGTAACTTGTCCCAGAATCTAAAGAGAGTAAAAGATGTAGGGAAAGATCAATAATGAAAGAGAACCAAGAGATCACAAAGATAATGATTGAGAATTGTTGGTTGGATTTGGAATTTGAAGAAATTTTTAGACATTAATACTCATCCTTAAGCTTTTATGTGCTTGGCAATGTGTGAAGTGTGTCATGTATTTATTTCATTGTGAGCATCAGTAAAATAGACTGAGGAAAGTATCATTGTTTCATTTTGCCCATTAGGAAGACTATTGTTCAAGATAGTCAAATACCTGGTCCAAGGTCAGATGGAGAACATCAGACGTGGAAATCAGTCCTAGAATTCTTTCTGTGTCACCAAAGAAACTGAGATATGAGAAGGGGGTTGTACATCAGAAAGTAGTGGGCTGATCAGTAAATGGTTAGTGAGTAAGTAAGAGTGCCCTTTTCAGAAGAAGAGAAAGGAAGACAGAGACCAGCTCATCTAGTTCCCTTTCATTTCCCCATTGTTTTGTACATATACATAGTAAATGCTAAAAAATTTTTAGTTCAATGAACAATATATAAATGTTAACCTGTGCTCACTATTAGGTATGTATGTAAGAAGTGGAAGAGGAGGTAGCAGAGGTGTAGATTCCCTTTAGCCACAGATAGAGAAGATGAGGCTGAAGGAAGAAGCTAGGTCCTTCCTAGAAGAGGTTGATAGAGCCTGGGATCAGGTGCACAAGTAGGAATGACCTTGAATGAAGGAAGAAACACTTCTTTTAGGTTGGAAAAAAAAAGAATGAGGTATAGAAATAAATGTGTATAGACGCTTAGTGAGTTATTGCATTACCCAACAATCCCTCCCATATTAAAGTCCTTCAGGAAGGAACATTTTACCATCCCCAGATAGTTATTTACTTTAAAGTTTTATTAAATTTATACATGAAATTCCCTATACTTAGATTACCCTCTTTTCATTATATAGTAATTTCTTATAAAAAAATATCTAAATGACGGGTTACCTTGGAATAATTTCTTGAATTCACCAGGTTCTATTATTCCCATCTCTTTACACCTCTTATTTGCACTCACTCCCTGTTTTGAAAAGAATTGGAGGTCATCAATAAACATACCCCCACTTATTTATTAGACTCCTTTGAAATTTCTTAACACATCAACAAAATATTTCTAAATGTTATAATATTTTAGAGAAAAAGGCATTTCCAACGTTTGTTAGCTTGCACACAATTGTATTTGCTTAGTTCAGCTTTTTATATCTAAAATATTTAAGTTTTCTTCCTGGTTAGCTAAGACTACTCTGGTGTTTGATTGCATTTTTAATAAAAGGATATTGTTAATTCATTGAGTGTCAATAATCTCATACTTCAAGTAATGCATAAATTGGAAATTTATTTTTATACAATATATTTAAAGAACAAAACGTTGCTTGCCTATGAAGATTTACCTAATGATCACCTTGATGTTTAAAGAAAATGATTTTTACTTGTGCCCTATCTTCAAAGTCAAATTATTCTGTAATACTTTAAAGCTTTCAGCTGGTGTTGAATTTTTGCTGGTTCAATAGTGGGATGAGAATATTGACTGCTATATTACTGTTCTGTCAGATAATTTTGTTCTTGAATAATCTATATGACCTATGAGAAGGGCAAATGATAAGGCAGAGAGATGTGAGACAAAACACTAAAATGTTATTGTTTTGAGTTTGGCAGCTATCTAATTGAATATTTCAAAATTATCCAAGGAAAATGCACAAAATACATAATTATGTGCAATTTGAGCTTGGGCTTGAGCTATGTAGTTTTAGTCTGTCTCACTTATAAAAAGTAGTCAGGTTATTTAAAATATAAAAAGTTAATATTCTTAGTAATATTTTGTACATATTATTATTTTTCATAAATCATCAAAATAAGAATGTTAACTTAATAAGCATACATTGGGAGATTTAAAATAATCATGTGAAATAGTTATGTCATTTAAAAGACTTTTAAGTGTTTATTTAATATTATGTCCAAAAATAAATAAATCAAACTTTGATCAAAGTCTAAGATACAGAGTATCTTTACAAAGATTCTGTTTATGTATTGCCTCAATTAAACAATCAGATAGGTAATTTTGTTCAGTCTATATGCAATCCCAGTGTATTTATTGTATATGTAGAGTTGTTCAACTTCTAAAGCATTGACCCAGTTTTTATAATGTAATTATTTACCGTGTGGTTTGGAAGACTATACTTCTTGCCTTTTAATGTGAAAATGATTTAAGATTAATGTACACTAATCTCAGCTGTATGAAAAAATACTGTAATGAAATATTATATTTTTACTTTTTAATCGAAAATATGAAAATCATCTTAAATGGAACAAAGAGAAATTTCTAAAGCAACCAAGGTATTCAATCATCATTTACTATTATATATAGCCATAATTGCATTTATCTGAGTAATCATAATTTGCTTTGTATTTTGGTATTTGAGCATATTCACTTTTTAAATTATTATTCATCAGTAAAACTGTGGCATTTAATTTGAATAAAATGTACATCAAAAATTGTGAACAAAATATGTATGTCATTCATTGAAACATATGATTGGTGGCTTTTCTGGGAGTAAAATGGAGAGAAAATTAGAGATTAGAGGAATAACATGATTAATTGATTCAGAGTGACTCCTGCTGAAAAAATTATGTTCAATAAGAATCTGTCATAATTTGTGATCGTTTGTCACAATACAGTACATCAAATATAATGGATTCAGGAGCACAAGCAGTAAAAGTGACTGTACAAAATGTGAGGCTTTTTAAATGAAAAAGATGGTTTCCAAACTGATTGGGTTCTAAATAGCCATGGTATATTAATCTGAAGTATCATGAGTATTTCCAGGGATGGTAAATGTTAGTAAAATATTTTTTCTAATATATATACTTATTATTTGCTCTCAAACCTTTTTTTTTTTTTGATACCTGGAATTGAACCCAGGGGTACTTAACCACTGAGCCACATCCCCAACCCTTTTTATTTTTATTTTTTGAGACAAGGTCTTACAAAGTGGCTTTATGCCTTACTAAGTTTCTGAGGCTGACTTTGAACTTACAATCCTACTACCTCAACCTCCTGAACCACTAGGATCACAGGTATATAGCACCACAGTGGGCCTAAAAATTTTTAAAGATCAAATCATAGTGGCTGGTGTTGTGGCTCAAGTGGTAGAGTGCTCATCTTGCACATGCGAGGCATGGGGTTCAATCCTCAGCACCACATAAAAATAAAATAAAGATATTGTATCCACCTAAAAATAAAAAGAAAAATCAGATTATACGCATTTTTATTAAAGCATGAAGAAACCCAGCAAAAGTTGCTGCTTAAATGTTCAATGGGAAATAAATGGGAAGCATGTTTCTTTTTACAACCCAAAACATTTTTCCAGTCAAAATTCATTTCAGGTGGTAAAATGTATCCTTCTATATTATTTTCACTTACATATATTTTCCTCACTGGTATCTTTCAGTGATGTTTTCTTACATAAGAGTTTTTTTTTTTTTTTTTAACACTGTAAGAGATTAAACTCTTGATAGGAATATCACAGAATTTTCCAAGAAAACTATAGGGGAAATTCATACATTTTGTCACTTCCAGAGAGCAAAAGTTTACCATTGAAATCCACGGTAAAATATCAGTGAATCAGGTCTATTCCAATTCTCCATTAAACATTATGCATCAATAATGCTTGTAATTATAGAATGGAGTTCATTTAAATGAGTAGAACTAATTTTGGAAGATTAAGCAAGTTATTTTCAGGAGAATGGCTGATAAATTTGATGAACATCAATGAAAGTTTTGCTTGCTCCTTTATGGAAGTACGCATGTTTTATTGTCATCTGGCCCAATTCTACTCTGAGTTTGATTTTCCATTTCTATTTTATCTCATATTTTTCCTAATCCTAGAACTGTACCACTTTACAAAAATCTTATTTAAAACCTATTTGTGTGGAATTACATTAAAGCCAAGTAAACTTTCTACCTCCCTATACTGTAAACCAATTGGTAATTATTTTTAGTCACCTACTGCGTTAGGAGTTCCATCTTTTGGGCATTGAAATTGATTTTTCTCATCTTAGCATCTGAAGATCCAGAGTGTGCCCCTTGCCCAATCGCCTGAGACTATACAGTGACACCTACAACAGAGGATGTGGAGGCAGCAGCTTTTCGGGCACCAGAAATGGCAGCATCAGGAGCATCAGCACGAATAGACTTTGTAGAGGTAGTTCTCCCAAACTACACGGTGAAACCAAACATTTTTGGTGCGCCACCTGCTGGTGGGGCTGCCATTTAACTGCCCGGTGTATACAAAATGTTTGGTCTTTGTTAAAAATTTAACAATGACATTCCTGACTAGGATAGAGAGATCTGATTTTTTTTTCCCACATGTGTTCAGTTGCCATAACTTTCAATGAACATGAACTTTTATTAGGCTCAGGAAAACATTAAGACCCATGTTTTATCAAACTTATTTTACTATTTGTTATGCAAAATTGCTATTGAATATAATTTTGTATAAATATTTTTAAACTTAGATTAAAATAAGCCATCCTTATTCAATAACAAAAGATAATTTCTCTAGTCCATGAAATTCTTTAGATACTGAATATGTTTGTCCAGTTTTTGTCCCTGAGGAAGTTCCACTGTGAACTTATTCTGCAAAATGAAAGATTATTCCCAGATGGCCCCAAGTCAAAATATGAAATGCTGGTGATTTATTTATTTTTATATAATCTTTTATATAATTTAATGTGAAATGGTTATTTTACCACTGTAAAAATATTTTTTGTTAATTAACCACATTGGCTTTATTTGTACAGTTCATTGACTTTCAATTGCATGCAAAATGAGTCTGAAAAGATGCTTTTGCAAAATGAATAACAATCAACATAATGGGTGCGTTTACTTTGAATATTTTAAACATATGACTAAGAAGCAGGATAATATTTCTTACAAACGTTAAGCAGTTCAATGCCTTGAACATCATCGTCTTGCCTAATGCAGTGCAGCATAACCCTCTTTCACCCTGTTCTATTCTGGAACCAAGCAAAATATTTTTTAAAATTATGATAATTTTATTGGAGATATTTCTTGATTCAATACAATTTGAGGGATCTTCTTATAAAACCAGTATGAACAGAATACCATTGAGAGTAATAGCTTGTCCTGTATTTTTAAAATATTTCAAAAAATATTTTACAGTTATTTCTTTCACTTTCTAGGAAAAAATAAAGTATGACATTTTATACAAAACCTATGCTATGGAACCAATGTGTATTGTGCTGATTATTTCTATTCCGCCTTATATATTTTAATTATGTGAAACATATAAAATATGAGGTAATTTCCTATAATGCAAATAGCACTTCGCATGAAACATGTATGCATATGAAAGTCCATGTTGATATTTTTGTTAAAATTATGTAAATGCTGATTTTTCCAGAATTACTTGTGAAGATCTGTGTAAAAATATATAAATCTACTTAATTGTGTTTGGATAACACTGTTTTAGCCATGTTTAGCACATGCTGACTTCTATCATCTTTATACATATTGCGTATCTCTCAAACAGTATTCTGAAAGATATATTGCTATTCTAAGAACACAAAATATAAGTCTCTGGTATTCCTTTAAAATAAGTTTTATTATCATAGTACAGTTAGTTTATTATCATAGTGCAGTTAAAAAAATAAAACAATATTTAAACAATGTGTTCTTAAGAAATCTCAGTGTCCTTCAAATACCACCAATACCTAACTTTCAAAAATTTAGTTTGGATAGTATTGAAACATTTGACCTGAATGTAGCTTTAAAGATGAAAGAAATATTGCTGTTCTGCCTCTAAGATGTTCCAAGTAAGAAACTGAACTTTTCATTGTTAAAGCTTAAAAAATCTTATAAAGTTGCAATTAAAGTTTGCAGTAATGTATAGACTGTTGGATAATTATTTTGTTGGCATAACCTCAGTGCAGTAAGCCACGTTGCCTTCTGGTCTTATGAGAATGTATGATAATCAAAAGTTTGAAAGCATGTAAGTGTAGGATAAAGGAAACTTTTCTTAATGAAAATAAATTAACAAGTAATTCGAATAACTGTTATCAAAGCTGAAATGGTTTAAAATTGCATCCACAGAAGTGATTATGCAAAGAAATTGTTAAACTAAATGTCACCAAACATAATACTTGATTCATATTTGCCTACTGTTCATACCATATGTCACTGTTAATGTTCCAAAAAGCATAAATGATTTTAAATTCATTTGTTTACATTAATCTAATCTTTCATTCACAGAGAAGTTTCATGTGCTAACAACAAATTATTAAATGTGTTTATTTTATAAAGTTACATTTTTAACTTCTAGATTAGTTTTTAATCAACTAGGTAAAACGGTAAGAGGATGAAAGATATTTATATGCATTTATTGTTATTGAACTAGTAATTTTTACTGAACTAGCTTTTAGAAATATATTCTATTAATTCATGAGTATTGGGATAGCCATATTAAACCAGAATTTGGCTAAATGTACTTAATAAGGAAAAATAACTACAAAAAAATACCCCTTAAGAGGAAGGCAATAAAATATGCGGTTATCTATTCTCTAGGATACCAAGTACAAAAAGCCCTTTCCCCTCTCATAAAATCAGACCAACTCCTGGGCACTTGGGACATGATGTGAACAACACACGGAATTGCCCTTCAACACCTTATTGACATATTGTGAACAGAAGTCCATTTTTATGTCTCTTAGGAGTGCCTCAAAGAATAGAATAGAAGACAGATTCCCTTGTTTCTCAACAACTACGGTTCCTAGAAGTTTGTTAAGAATTTCTTACTTATGAGGCTGGGGTTGGTAGAGCACTTGCCTAGCACATATGAGGCACTGAGTTCAATCCTTAGCACCACATAAAATATAAAATATATACATAGAGTTGTACATAGAGTTGCAGAAACATTTTTGGCAGTGAAATGCAAAGGGCTTTCATCAGAGCATAGTTCATCTTGGCATTTATAGGGCAAAGGTTGGTAAAATCAAACTTCTTCCAGGTTATTCCTTAAATCAGTGCGCATTCTGCACTTTTATGATTTGATTTGAAAAGGATTTCCTGGACAATAGACATAGCCATGTTCAAATGTAACTAATAACAAATTGTGAAGCCAAATCAAAGCATCTTGCATTAATATCTGTTTGTAATTGACCATAAATCTGCTTCCCTTTATTAGTTTGACTAAGGTCCAATCCAAATGTCAGTCTACCAAGGCTTCTCTGGTTCTCCAACCCTAGTCACTCTACTACATATGGATGTGGGACTTTGGATATAATCTTACTAAAAGGAAACCATGTCAAGGATCTGCTTCCTTGAGTTCTTTGAAGGCAGAACTGTCTTACTCATCATCCTACAATGGCTAGAAAAGTGCCTGGTCCAAAAGTTAAATTTGTTGGATGGATAGAGCAGATACAACAATCAGAGGAAATACTATACCTGCTGAGTATTCTAGTACTATTACATGTAATAAAAAAACAACAAAACTGAAATGTCTAAAGTTATTCTCTGTACCTATTCATAAAATTGCAAAACTGTCACAAGACTCATTTTCCTCAAAACTCACAGGGAGCATGGCATGGAGGTATGCATCTGTAATCTCAGCACTCTGGGAGGCTGAGGCAGGAGTAGCTTGAGCCCAGCAGTTCCAGACCAGCCTGTGTAACACATAAAGACCCCAGCTACAAAACAAAACAAAAAAACTGCCAATGAGACCAACACATTTATGTGCTAGTTTCAATTGTGCCACTACAGTTTAAGTAGCCTTTATTTGAAAAGCTTAGGAGAAGTGTTTAAGATTTTAAAGTTTTGTGGACTTTGGAGTATTTTTAAATTCATAATGAGATATCTTGGGGGATGGAACTGAAGATAATTTCAATCAGTATTTTTATTGGCCCTAAGTTTTGACCAAGACCTGCACATGAGGTCAGATGTGGAAATTTTCACTTGTATATAATATAAGTGTTCAAAAAATTTTGAATTTTAGAGCAATTTGGATTTGGAATTTGGGGTTTTGGGAATAGGAATCTTCAACCTGAAAAAGATTTCTGAATTTGAAACTGTTAGCATCATCATATAATACACACACACACACACACACACACATATATGTATATATATGCTTGCATGTGTGTGTGTATACATTTGAATTACTATGACACCAAAAACTTAGGCAAAAAAAAAGCAAAAATAAACAGATGGGACATATCTAAGTGAAAAGATTCCATATAGCAAAGAAAACGTTAACAAAATGAAAAGACAATTTTTATATTGTGAGAAAATATTTGCCATCTCTTAAGTCTGAGAAGGGTCAATATGCAAAACACATAAAGAAATTAAAAAACTCAATAGTGAATCAACCCAATGTGAAAGATAAGCAAAAGACTTTATAGGCATTTTTCCAAGGAGTACATATAATAGTCAATAGGTATATGAAAGTTTTCAATATCTCTAATCATTAAGCGAATACAGATCGAAACCACAATGAGATAGCATCTCATACCTGTTAGGACACAATTATCAGAACAAAAACAGATAAAAAGTATTGAGGATGGTATTTAGAAAATATAAATTTGTGACAATGTGAATGGATAAAGCCATTAGGGAAGATAATATGGAGATTTCCCAAAACATTAATAATAAAACTACTGGGGCTAGGGTTGTAGCTCAGTCGTAAAGTACTTGCCTTGCATGTGAGAGGCATTGGGTTCGATCCTTAGCACCATGTAAAAATAAATAAATAAAGATATTGTGTTCCTCTACAACTAAAAAACAATTTTAAAAAATAAATAAATAATGAAACTACTATTGATCCAGTAGTTCCTTTTCTGAGTATATACAGTAACCAAAATATAAAAGCAAACTTGTAGTCAACTGATAAATAAAGAAATTATGAGATATATATACATACACACACATGCATACACATATATATGCACATATACATGCATATATCTCACTTACATATAATGGAATAATATTTGAACTTAAAGAAGGAGTCCTGTCATTTGTGACAGCTTGAAATGCATGGATTATATTTTGTTAAGTGAATTAAGTCAGACACAAAAAGAAAAATGCTGCATGATCTCAAAGAAGGTCAATTATATAGAAACAGAGAGTAAGGTGGCATTAGCAGGGGGTAGGGGATGGTGCATAAGGAATAATGTAGGTCAGAGTGTACAAACTCATGTTTATAAGATGGATATTTTCTAAAAACCTAAAGCACAGGATGGTGACTATATTAATAATGTATGGTATTCTAAAATATTCTAAGAAAGTCAACCTGAATTATTATCACCATAAGAATAAAAGAACGTATCTGTATGAGGTGATGGATAAGTTAATTAGCTTCATTATGGTAACCTTTGCACAATGTGTGCATGTATCAAAACACCAAGTTGTACATATTGAGTATATACAACTTTTTCTTGTCAAATATACCTCAATAAAGTTGAAAATTTTTTAATGTAAAAGTAAAGTAAAAGAGGACATGAATAACAAGGACAGGGTGTTCAAGGCAAGAGTTAAAAACTCAAATGACAGAATTTAAATGTTGGTGCAACATCTCACAAATAAAGCAAACCATGCATTTAAGCTCTTCAAATCCCTCTTGTACTGTGGTAGGCCTGAAGGTGTACAAAGTTGTATGCATTGCAACTCGAACTTGGCTTTGACCTCTCACTAAACAATGACTGAAACAAAACTTACTTGGACTTTAAATAGTCTCTTATTCTTTAACAATGAAGGGAACTAATGTTTATTTGGTGGATGCCAGGCTCTGTACCCACATGCATCATTTCATAAAACCTTGTAGCTACTGTGTAAAGTACGTATTGTCACATTTGAGAAAAACTGAGTCTCGGAGAAATTAAATGATTTACCCAAGATCGCTCTGGTAGAAAGTAGCAGAAACTGTGCTCAACCCACTTTTCTCTCCAATACTGCATAATATATCAACTCAATTGCTTTTTCTATCAATTATAGTTTTGCCTAAGTTCCGATTAAGAAATTTCTAATTACTTCTAATCAGTCATTTGATTTACCTTGAAGTCACTTGATTAGAAATAAGACTGTATTAATGATCCTGAAAGATTATAGATATTTATCACTCATGACAAGATTTGCTTATTCTCTTAAGGTGTTTTTAATACTTAAAGTACTGGAGATTGAAGTGGAGCAAACTATGTTATGTGCATTTATAGATATATCAAAAATTAACCCCATTATATATAACTATAGTGCCCTACTAAATATTTATAAAATACATCATGGTACATATTGGGTTTTGGAATCACAGATTAACCAGTCAATCCTCATAATGAAAATTGAGAAGGTCAGTGAGTTTCATAATTATGAGCATCAATTATTTGCAATAATATAATGCTGCCTTGATTTACGATTCACTGTCTTTCCAGTTTTATTTTCCAACCTCTTAAAATCAAGGTGATTTCCTTGTATTTTTTAAGATTTGAACTTGAAAAAATAACAAGACTTCATTCAGCTAATATGCATTAAACACTTTGAAGCCCAACAAAGAATGCTTTCAACAGTGTTTTGGAGTTTTTTGATCTTCATATTAACCTGATAAGGAAGCTATAAACATATTTCCTATTAAGCAAATAAGAACTTTAATATTATTCATTAAAATATAAATCATATCCTTAGTGTATGGGCAGTGCATTTATTTTTACATAAGCTTATGCTATTATTTATGTATATTAATCCTATATTTTTTTCTTGAGGACATGTTTCAAATTGTAATTCTCAATATAAGTAGATGCTTTGCAGAAGGATTTCATACCAACTAGTAAAATTTTTAAATATAAATTATTTTACTTAGTAATTTACATAAATATTGTTAAGCAGATTAGGATACTTCTATACAGTAACTATTAAAGTACTTTCAGTATTCATTGAGATAAGTAGATAAGCTACATAGCTTCTAATATCAAGGCATTTGGTATTCTAAGAGATTTTTAAATTTAGTTTTTAATACAAAATTCTCATTCTTGAAGTACAAACATTCTTTTCAGTCCTTTCAATGAGCTCTTGCTTTCATAGAAGAGAGAGTCTAGGCCAAGGGAAGTCATGTGCAAAAGCAGGGAGATGAATGAGAAACTGATGAATTATGCAAAATACCAAGAGGATCATTTGTGTGGGATGTACTGGCTAGTGAATGTCAAGAAATGAAGTTTGGGAAGTATAATAGAACCTATTCAAGTATGATTTTATATGCCAGTAGAATAGGTCTATAAGCAGAAATAAAACCTTGTACAGTGGTGGGTGCACACCTGTAGTCCCAGCTACTCTGGAGGATCACTTGAGAACAGAAGTGTAAGTCCAGCTTGGGTAACATAATTTTTTTAAAAATTAAAAATAAACAGAAATAAGCTTCATTAAGTTGATTTTGCAAAAGTTATTCCCTGGTCAGTCTTACTTCTAATAGGTAATAGAGTTGCTGTTATTGAGTTCTGAATTCTTTATATACATTAACTCATGTAGTCCTCACAGTAACTCTTTAAAGTAGATATCTATACTATTATCCCTATTTTATAAATGAAGAAACTAAAACAAGAAATAACTTGGCCAAGGTCAGAAAGCTGTTAAGATTTGAACCCAAACAACCTCACTCTGAAACCTTATTCTTGATTGCAGTAGTGCAGCTAAAGAGAGCCCACCCCAGCTAAATTAAAGTTTTGAGAATACATGATGATATTGTTAGAGGTTTGCATGTAAAATTTAATAAATCAGCCACAGGACAAATATGCCATGGTTCCTCTTAGGTAAGGCACCTGGAATAGGCAGGTGGAAGTAAACAACATATGGAAGTAAACAACAGAACTCTGGTTACCAGGGAAAGATGCAGAGTTCTTGTTCAAAGGGTATAAAGTTAGTTATGTAAAGTAATTAAGTTCCAAAGTCTGCCGTACACCATTTTATATATATATATATTATATTTTTTGTAGTTGTATATGAACAGCATGCCTTTAATTAATTAATTTATTTTTTTATGTAGTGTTAAGGATTGAACCCAGTGCCTCACACATGCTAGGCAAACATTGCATTGAGCTACAGCCCCAACCCCATAATTTATATAATTTATAATAAGACATAGCATATTTAAGTTAATAGGATAGCTGTCATGTTGAGTATTCTTACAATAAATAAATACACAAAAACACCACCAAAGAAACACAAGAAAATTTTGGAGCTGATAGGTGTTTTCTTTTAACATGTTTTTTTAAATTTGTTCTTTTTAAATATACAGGAAAGTAGAGTATATTTTGACATACATACATGGAGTATAAGTTACTCTAATTAGGATCTCAGTCTTGTAGATGTACATGATGTGGAGTTTCACTACTGGTGTATTCATATATGAACATAGGAAATTTGTTTTCAATTCATTCTACCATTTTCCCTGTTCCCGTTCCCCCTCCCTTCCCTTCATTCTCCTTTGTCTAGTCCAATAAACTTCTATTCTTCCCTCCCACCAATGTTTATTGTATGTTAGCATCCACATATCAGAACGTTCTGCCTTTCGTTTGGGGGGATTAGCTTATTTCACTTAGCATAATAGTCAACAGTTCCGTCCATTTACTAGCAAATGCTACAATTTCATTCTTTTGTATGGCTAAGAAATATTCCACTGTATATATGTACCACATTTTCTTAATCCATTTATCTTCTAAGGGCATCTAGCTTCCATAAATTAGCTATTGTGAATTGAGCTGCTATAAACATTGATGTGGCTGCATCATTGTAGTATGCTGATTTCAAATTCTTGGGGTATATACCAAGGATTAGAATAACTGGGTCAAATGGTAGTTATACTCGTTTCTTGAGGAGTCTCCACACTGCTTTCCACAGTGGTTGCACCAATTTGCAGTCCCACCAGCAATGTGTGAGTGAACCTTTTCCCCCACATCCTCACCAACATTATTGTTACTTGTATTCTTGATAATTGCCATTCTGACTAGAGTGAGGTGAAATCTCGGTGTGGTTTTAATTTGTTTTTCCCTAATTGCTAGAGTTGTTGAACATTTATATATATATATATATATATATATATATATATATATATATATATATATATATATATATATATTGACCATTTATATTTCTTCTTCTGTGAAGTGCCTGTTCATTTCCTTTGCCCACTTATTGAATGGGTTATTTGTTTTTGTTTTGTTTTGTTTTGTTGAGTTCTTTGTATATCCTGGAGATTAATGCTCTGAGGTTTAGGTGGTAAAGATTTTCTCCCATTATGTGGGCTCTCTCTTCACCTTCTTGTTTCCTTTGCTGTGAAGAAGCTTTTAAGTTTGATACCATCCCACTTATTGATTCTTAATTTTACTTCTTACGCTTCAGGAGTCTTATTGAGGAAGTTGGTTCCTTAGCCACCATGATGGAAAGTTAGGCCTACACTTTAGGCACAGGGTTTCTGGTCTAATGCCTATGTCATTGATCCACTTTGCCTTGAGTTTTGTGCAGGGTGAGAAATAGGGGATCAATTTCATTCTGCTACATATGAATTTCCAGTTTTACCAGCACTCTTTATTGAAGAGGCTATCTTTTCTACAATGTATGTCTGTGGTGCTTTTGTCTAGTATAAGATAAGTGTATTGACGTGGGTTTGTCTCTGTGTCTTCTATTCTGTTCCACTAATCTTCATGTAGTAGATCATGCCATTTTTGTTACTATTGCTGTCTAGTATAATTTAAGGTCTGGTATTGTGATGCCTCCTGCTTCACATTTCTTACTAAGGATTGCCTTGGCTATTCTGGGTCTCTTGTTTTTCCAGATGAATTTCATGGCTACTTTTTTTTATTTCTATGAAGAACATTGTTGGAATTTTAATGGGAATTACATTAAATCTGTAGAGTGCTTTTGGTAGTATGGCCATTTTGACAATTAATTTTGCCTATCCAAAAACATGGGAGATATTTCTATCTTCTAATATTTTCTTCAAATTTTTCTCTAGTGTTCTGTAGTTTTCATTGTGGAGGTCTTTTGCCTCTTTTTTTAGATTGATTCCCAAGTATTTTTTGAGGCCATTGAGTATGGGATGGCAGATATGTTTACTACATAAGTGTATACATATGAGCAATCTCAGCAAATTATATGCAGTATTTTATACAGTTTTGGATACACTAATTAATCCTAAATAAATCTGGAAAAGTATATAATTTATTAAGTTTTGAAATATATGCACATAGTGAAAGCACCACAATCAAAATAATGAACTAATCCATCATCCCCAAAGTGTCCTCCTAACATTGGTCACCACATTACTCTCCAGACACATCCATTCTATTTTCTGTGACTATAGGTCAGTTTGAATTTGCTAGAATTTAATGTAAGTATAATCATACATTGTATATTCTTTTATGCTTGACTTCATTCATTAAGCAAAATTATTTTGAGCTTTATCCATTCTATAATGTTTACTGATTTTTATTGTTGAATATTATTCCATTGTATAAATATACCAGGGTTGTTTACTCTTTCACCTTTTGATGGATATTTGGGTTACATTCTTCCAGGGTTAAGCTTTTATAAATTGACTGCTATAAAAAATTGTACTTCTAGTTCTTTGTGTGAATGTTGAGGGAAAGATATCAGGCATAAGCAACATTTATGTTTTCATTTGTGTAGAGTCCAACATGAGGGAAAATTATCCTATGCTACCAGAATTTATAACAACTATCCTCTGGGATGTAGTGTAGTGACTAGAAAGTGCCTAAGGGGCTGCTTTGGAACTCTGACAATATTTTGTTTCTCTATCTTGATGTTGAGTACATAGATAACCATAGATAGATAATATATGAAAATTCAATAAGCATTATTTTTCTGATTTATATTCTCTTTTTGGTATCTTATACACTGATTAAAAATTAAAAGAGAGGCTAAT